ACCTCATCATCGAAAACAAGAGGAGAGCTTCCTGCAACTTATATAACGAGAATAAAACGAGCTCCTCTTCGTCTTGATCGGCGAGAAGAGACTTCCTTACCTCTCGGTACAGGAAGAGATCCCGTGGCAAAAAAGGACAGAGCTCCCTTAGCTTCCAAACAGAAAAGCCCAATACCTCATCCTCGACACGAAAAGACTGAGAGCTTCCTCCAATCTAATGAGACAGAAGAGAGCTCCATTTCAAAAAACCAGACAGGCCCCTCCAAGATATCGAGAAAACAGACAGCTCCGTTTACCCGTCGGTGGGCAAGAAGAGACCTTTCTCCCCAAGTAAGGGCCGTAAGGGAAGGAGATCCAGACTACCCCGTTTACCTCTTCAATATATGGAAGAGAGCATGCGCTCAAGACGAAAAGGGTGGAGCTCCTCCGAAGTTTGGTGCTCCCCTCAACCTTCAAACAGAAGGAGGACTCCGCTTCATGCTTTAAAAAAGAAAAAGCTCCCCCAAAGTTTTTCGTGGTAAGAGAAGACAGCTTATTTCTAGAAGACAGCCGCCCTGCCTGTTGGCAAGTCGATTCTCAGTCTCGAGAAAAGTAAAGAGACCGCACTGCTAGCCGGAAAGGACAGAGCTGCTTTACCTCTTGGTAAAAAAAGATCCCCTGGCAGGTCTTCTACCAAACACTTCAGATTCAGGCGAGAGGCCTTTCTAACTTCTCGAGAAGGAGGAGAGCTCAGAATAACTCTGTCGACAAGACTAATACGCTTTGCTGCATGCCCCTCCGAAGGCATACAGACGGCAAATAGCATAATGCATGTGCATGCATCTGCACTTTACAACATGTCTGATAAGCGAGCCGGCGGGACCTGTAGTGATCATGTCGTTGCTTTCACCTCGCGTTGCAAGCGACGGAACTGACTTTAAAAATCACAAGTTACCATACAGCTCCTAAAATCATTGTGTACACATGAGTCTAAGTGCTGAACACTCAAAGATGACAAAACAGATGATAAAATCGATGAGAAGGATGATACATACCCCACACTCGCCGGCCACGCTGCTCATGCCGGCGGACTCTTTCCATGAAAAACCTTGGGTGGCTCCGCCTTTTACGCGTGTGTATGCTAATGTGCGTACGGCCGTATTTATGCAAGCGTGTAGTGATGTAAGCACGAGTGGATGTTTGTGAATGCAACCGCAAACGCTTACTTACATACACGCAGACAAGCAAAATCACGCAAACACATGTGTTTGCTTCTTCGTATTCGTGTTGGTTTAAGCTGTGCAGCGCGCTTGGCTCCATGCCCACTTGCTACTGTAACTGCTAAAGATGCATATCCACACACTCGAGCATCGTTGCTCTTCTCCTGGCAGGGTGAAAAGCCTGACGACTTGTCGGCTTGGGACGAGGAGAAGGCGAGAGTGACTCCAGGGCCATTATTAGGCCATGATTCATGATAGTTCCAAAATACACAAGACTCAGCCATCGATTTGCCTGTACTGGGTGACAGCAACTAGCCCCCTAATAGCGTGAGGCCACTTAAAGGGGACACGGGTTTCGGACGTTTACCACTTTATTCGTGGAGGTGACCATGTTGGTGGTCAAATACTTCTGCGCTCAGACAAAGAGGCAAGACTAGGATGGATGTTGATTCGAAAGAGTTTGGCCAGATGTACCATCGCGTTGGGTGCTGACGAAAGGATCGTGACTCTTGGCTGCTACTACCTGCCCAGTCACGAGACGATCGTGCCTTAGGCCTTGGGTATGGCACAACTTCGCAGCTCGGAAGGATCCATGAAAAGTCACGGCCGAGGTTGATGCGGATGGTCGCAGACGGCTGGATGTCTGAAAAGCTCGAGAGCTTGATTCGCAGCAAGCAGGCCCGCTTCTACGATGTCAAGTTTTTATTGTTCTTGATAGGAACTGTTCGGCATCGCAGGTACCACCGCCTCCAGAAGAGGCAGATGTATGGAGCTGCTGGGAGGACTGCATCATGCCGCACCCCTGTTGCATCCGCACACCCAACTAATGTATTCAAGGGGGTGTACTTAGGGTTTAGGCATTTCCGGGGCCGCGGCAATGTATTCAAGTGGGTGTAGAAACCAGCTATACCATCTGCCATATACCCCGTACAAGACATGTCAGGTTCCCAGGGTCAATTCAGAATATACATCTGCGTGATCGGAAATAGTGCGCACCGCTGCCATTGAGGATGGGAGCCAACCGAGTGTGGAATCTGTGAGGGGGGCAGGGTTTCGTTGTTTTTGTCCTTTTGCTCTTTGAGTTAGTCCTAGTTCTCCGGGGCATTCCCATCCTTTGGCATGCATAGCCTAGTGTATGCAGGGGGGCCGTATGCATTGTTGTGCGGCTTCCCGGCATACCGGGAGCACCCAAGACTGGCGATCCACACAGCATCAAAGCACCACGGATTTTAGCAGCGGGAATACCTGATTGTACACCGGGGGCGGGCCGAATAGATTGTTGGGCTTCCCGGCATTCCCGGTGAACTTAGGGCTGTCATCCACAGAGCACACAAGTGCGGGCGGATCCAGGCGGTCTCCATCGGATGGATCCTTTCTATGTACTTACATCATATATCGTCGGGTCCTGCTGTGTCACGCTGGGCAATTTTTAGTCATTTGCCTGGCTGCTTTGCAGTCTGTATGCAGGAGGGCTTTGCTGAATGCATTTCGGCTGTGGCTTGCTGGCATAACGTAATCCCGGGACAACCGATCCATAGCATATGGCCCAGACTTACATCGTGTCCTTGGACAACCAATTCGGACAACAAATCCATCCAAAACAAGTGCACCCTGGACGAGGCCAGACCAGGCCACCCCCACAAACATCCCGGCATTGTCATCGTCTTACCGCCGCCAAATCAGATCAGACCGGAACCGCGCAGCAGCCGAGAAAGCAGGATTTTGGAATGGAGAGTATGCCGAGTATGCATCAGCTTTACAAGGCATTTGTCGGAATCCATCCAGTCCCCGACCCCCCGCCTGAACACATGTTGCACTGGTCTTCGTCGCGCATGGTGCATTCAGGAGTTCAGCAAACATGATCTCCAGTTGCGGAACACCAGAAGATCGGTGCCGCTGCTCAGCACGCCATGTCCTGCATCCCGCGGTATTGGATTGCCCACTGACCTTCTTGATCGGCAGTGTGCATGTCTCCCAGATTGACATGCAGAATTCACTGTCATGTTCTTCACATGGAGCGATGGTGATTTTGTATGCTTAGCAGAGGTCTGCAGAATGGGAAGTCGTTCAGCGACGATGAAATGCCAGATGTCAGGTCAAGCTCGAGCAGCTCTTCTCGGGTGATGCGGTTATCTGGCAGAAGGCGTGAATTTCGGAAGCCGGGCTATGCTGCCGACTGGTCAGACCACTAGCATGGCAACTGGCTGGTGTTTCCAGATGCGTGCTGATGACGAGAAAGAGGCCCGCACTCCGCTCGAGGCACACATGGTGCTGCTCTGGAGATCTGAACTGCTGCATAAAAAGCCACTATTGCCGCCTGCCGAGATGCGTTCCGACTCCCAAAGTGCCAAACCAACATGTACAGAATGCATAGTCTTGCGTATAGTCATCGCCGAAGCAGAGGCAGCAATGTGGAGCTACTTCACTTCCATTTTTTTGTGTCCAGGAAAGGGCAGTTCTGCATAGTTTACCTTTCGTCCTCCAAGCAAGTGGTAAGCGAGGCTGTCTAAGGCACGGCGGGCACAAGCCAGGCTCGGGACAACAGCACCACGGGGGGGTGAGGAAGTATCACTGCCCTTTGGACTGCATCGGCATGCGGCTAGCATCAGTTCTCACGCTGCCTATATTTCGGAAAGACTAAACGAAGCTTCAAGGCATGAACGTTGTCAGCTCAAGCACACCTGCCTGTCGGATCTTGTGTTGCCGCGGTTGATACTCTTGTGAACCACATAGTTTCATCGCACTTGTTGCTTCGAGTTTGAGAGCGCAAGTGGCAGTACAGAACGTGCAGGTGCAGATCGACCCTGACATCCCACCAACGTGCCCAAAGCCACAGATGGAGACATGGCAACATCGAAGCCGCAGCAAGCTGCCTGGTGAAGACTCTGCTTCTTGAACTAATGTGCCGCAGGTATCCCATCCTGACTGTTGCAGACCTAGCTGCACATGAGGTCGGATGGGTTCTGCTTGAATTCATTGTCAGCAGCAGAGGAACCCAATGAAAGCACACAAATTCTGCAATTTTCAGCGAGCACCCTAGCTTGGAGCTACGCACACTTGGATGCCGGCAAGACACTGGCGCGTGATCCGGCAATCATCGGCAAACCCTGGCTATAAGGGAGCCTTACAGTAGAATGGGAGGGCACGGGGAACGGAGATGAACGGAGGCGAGACGGCACGAAGGAACGTCCACGCCACAAGGCTAAGCCGCTAGAGGTCTTGACGAGGGCATGGCATGCATGGCAGAAGCACCGCGAAGAGCGGCCAATTGGCTGTTCAGGTCATGAGCCGATGCCCTGTAAGCACGACAAGAACTGCGAGCTGTGCAGAAGCAATGCCCACGAGCTTGCATGCTTTTTCTTTACAGTCTTCGTCGAAGCAAAAAGATGAACTGTTTCGCAGAACCCGTCCACAAGAGATCAAAGCTGATTGCTCCGAAGATTTTGTGTTGGGTGTTTTGTGATGGCGTTTAGTGGGAGCCCCGTATCCAGGCCGAAGAGGCTCGTGGGCAACCTCCAGTCGAGAACGCGACAGCCCCAGCATCACGAAGCTGATTCATCTGTTACAAGCGGTGCCAAGATCCCTAAACCCTAAACCAGTTATGATCGTCGGACACAGAACGGTGTTTGCGGCATCCTTCGAAATACGTGATGAGTTGTAGGTCAGTGTAGGTTCTAGCTGCAAGTGTGTAGAGCTCCAAGGCGCATCCAGATCCGCACGTTCTCGCACGGCCTGTGGCTGATCGTGCGCGATCTTGCTCTCAGCAGTTTTACTACGTGAGAGGTGAGCTGCACCTGAAGTTGAATGTGTTTGCCGAAAGTGTAGGATTCGCAGGTACCAGGTAGCAGCGCAGGGCATAGCTGTGATGATGCTGTGTTGGGCAATGCCGTCTTGGGCATTGAGGTCGCGACAAAATAAGCCATTGACAATCAAGCCATAGCAGGTGGGACGGCATGCTTGCAGGACACGTTGTCGTGGGCAGTTTCTTGTACAGGCCATCCACAATGGCAGACGAATGCATTCTCCGCCGGCGTCCCAGACAGTGGTTGAGCTCCGTTCGATGTGCAGAAAGCACTAGCCGGGTCAGGCAAGTCCGTGCCGAATGGTCAAACAGGGATGACGACGTTCAAAAGATGCAAGAGCTCAATCTCACACGAAATTGGCTTTGCAATGTGCTCGCATCGCTTCAACGGTGTTGGAATGTGTTGGAAGGATGATTTCTTGCGATGTGCATGACGAGGTTCAGGTCAGAGTCAGTTCTACTGGTGCAGGACGCTGAATTCAATGCCTACAGAAAGGCCCCATGCACACGTGAACCAAAAGCCTGCACCAACACCAAGGGCAAGCGCAACCGAACAGTACTGTAGGGCAGATGGGCGGACAGTGGTGCTGCCGTACGAACCGCAGGCCAAGATCGTTTCGCGTCGTCTCGCAGGATGTTGAAAGATTTATGGGTTGTCAGAAAGTTTTCAGAGCTTGAAAAGACGTACACTTCCGAGACCGGTCGAAGCATCTACCTGAACTGCAAGCTGTGTGCCTTTCTGGCCGTGCATGTCCGACATAAGCATGGTGTCGTTATGGTTAAGCAGCATTGCAATGCGTATCTTTTTGGCATTGAAGCAGTCTCTGTGAGCTTATTGTGCTGTTCCTGCTAGACTGTGGGATCCTTGCCGGTAAACTCTCTATGTCTTGCTATGCTTGGCCAATGTTGTACTTTCTGAAGGGAGCTGCCTCTGCTGTAAGGCTTTGTTGCCCGACTAGCCGGGCAGCCATGATGCTGACTGTTACTACAGCCTTAGCTTTGCAGAGCCGCGTTTCCGGGAATGCATCTTGCCACTCGGCTATGTGATGCACCTTTCCGAAGATGGGGGACTCATCAAACTATTCCTGGCATTTGCATTTCCGCTCTGGCTTGCAGTTGTGTCATGTCTGTGCAGACAAGCCCTTGTGCTCTGCGCAGAAATGCGCAGACAAAGCCGTTGGGCCAGATAACGTTTATTGTCCAAAACATTGCAGTGCATGCAGAATCAGAACCCAAGCATGTCCTGCACCGCATTGTTTCGTTTTGGAAGGATCCGTGCTGAATGCTCATTTGAAGCCGAAGCCATCCGGTTGCAAGGCATAGATGCCTCATCCAGCATGCCGCCAACAGCTGCTCTTTTGCAGTTTCCACTTGTGAACGCACCTCAAAAATATGGTGCTTCACCGGGGCTTCTTGTGATTTTCTTGAGAGGGTTTGAGAGCAGTTCGCATGGAAGTTAATGCACCGCGCTGCCGACAGCCCATGCACAGGTGCGAGAAACAAGCCTGGCGGACGCACAGCGCTCCAGCATAGAAGCATACTCGTAGTTCAGCATCATAGCTCGAAAGCCAGTGTGGCACTTCACGATTGGGCGATCATCTTCGAATCTGCTCGTGGTATGATACTTTATTTTTTCAAGCTTCCACCTGGTTCATCGGCCAAAGTCGCCATGGCGGGTGAGGCGGCCGTGGGAAGCCATAGGGTTTAGGGTTTAGGATTCAG